CATTTTCCCCATTTTATTATTGTCATGTTTAAATTTAGATTACAGATTATATCAAGTGATAAGAGTAATTTGATTTGTCATTGCAATACACAAGTTTATTATGTAATTATATAATACGTATTATGCATTAAAAAACATTATTGAATAAAAAATCAACATAAAGATGGAATCATTCAAGTATGCTTTAATAAATTTTTTTGATTGATCAAGCTTATAAAAATTTTGCTTTGTTATTATATAATTTCGTTATTAAACATTCTATTGTACAAATGTATTATTTCAGTTTTTTCTTGAGCTGATAGTTCATAGCATCTACCAGTTGCTGATTGCACTTTTAAAGATGAAATTTTGCATAGAACGTGCATTATTGGAACCCAGCAAATATCTTCTCTATGTGGCCAAGTAAAAGTGTTAGAGGAAATAGACTGCTTCATGAACTTTATAAGGATATCTTGATTTTCTTCAGATATTTCCACAATATTACCTAAAAACCATTTTCCATCATAAACACATGCTATATAAATTCCTGGTAAAAGAGATGCAAGTGGAATTGTATAGTTCTGTTGCATTGTTGAAATATTTACATTAGTAAACACATTGTCGAATGAAACCCGTCTCATTTGTAAAGTAATTAATGATTGTGGTATAAAACAATGGTGGTTTCTTGTTCCTGGAATTGTTGTACAAGTAGCATAACGTTCTTCTAATTTAAATTTCATGCTATGTAATGTAACTGCATCATTTGAAATGTGTTGAAAATGTATTCCATCAATATTTTGTCTACACCAATCATACATTTTTTTAGATGAATTGATAGGATCAACTAGTGATTGTAAACTTGCCCTTGCTACAAGTCTTTTGACAGTTTCCTCAACACCATCACACGCACTCTTTCCATGTGATGTAGCAAAAAAATGCCATTCTGCAGATACGTCATGATCTTGTTTATGGTGACATAAGTTAGATAGGTTTTTATAATTTTTGTATTGTGAACTTGCACCATCACTGAAATAAATGCAGTGGTTAAAGTACGGTATCAAGTTTTTTAAATGTTTTAATACTTCATGAATGAAACAATGTACTGAGTTTGTATTGTGTTGCAAATTATCTGAGATAATGCAAATACTTTTACATTTTATCTTGTTTTCTTCCATAAAGTAAATAACAAAAGGATGCAATGTTGCTTGGCTATTGTTCCAATGGAAACCTTGTACTGCATCTTGAATTAAAAAACTGTAATTCTCAGCAAAGTCTAATAATATTAAAATATGATTACTTGCTAATGTGATTTTTAGATGCTGCAAATATGCTGCTTCAATAAAATCGTCCGCTGGAAGAGTTACCGGAACTATATCATGTTTTTTGTTAGCTTTTTGCCACTGATTAAAGTTGATTTCTTCAATGCTATGTTTATCAAACAAAGTAGTAAGATACTCTTTAAGTGTGTCATTATCTGGGCAGTTATCACAACAATGCAGCATGCAGTCTCGATTTGTTAAGTCACATACAACTAATGTCAAGAGATTTTTATAGTCTGAAATATCTGGTATTTTTAATGCTAAAAGTTTGGCATTCTGGTGGTACTCACAAACGCATACTGAGTGGAGACCTGAAGCACCTCCAACAGGAATACACCACTTTGGTCTAAGTTCACAAAACTTAGAAAATCCAATCTTGACATCTAAGGAAATTTTAACAAACTCTAAATAAAGTTCTTTTATATTAAGTAATAGCAGTCTTTTTTGAAAATGTTGTCTTTTACCATCAACTTGGATTGAGACATACTGTTTTTTTCCTGGATACATTCTAGAGTATTCATCTGATTGGTAAAATTCATGGACTAGATTTTTTACTTTCTCACTAATAGATCTTCCTTCTTTTTTAGACGGCTTCGCTATTATGCCATGCATTTGTTTCAAATGCCTCGCAGTTTTTATCATTTTTTGGGAAGCAGAAAAATAGTTTTCTGTATAGTTAATGTTCCAACTCTCAGGAACCAAAGTTAGCAATTTAAGTTTTTCTGGTTTTGAAGAAATATCAAACTTTGCTTTAATTAATTCCGTTAGTGAGTCCAAATCTTGTTTACTTTTGCAACAAAGTTCTTTTGTTTTTGGTTCATCATTTATTAAATCCAGAGAAACATCTAAAACAGTTGCTATTTTCTTTTTGGTTGCAGTATGGATCTTGTTAATCTTTCTTTTTGCATAGCTGACTCTGTCTTTATAAGCTACTTGTTTTAGAGGTGAACAACCAAAGTTTTCTTTTGGAATATGAATCCCGTTAAAATCGTTATCTTGATTTTTACATGAATCACTTTCATGTTCTTGTTTTCTTAAGTGCAATATTTTACGACATTCTGTACAAAGCTTATAACCAGGTATTAAATCAAATTCCTTTGCAACAGCAGCACTGATTACTCTGACAGATTCTAAAAAAATATATGATAAAACACTAAATAAATAAATAAAGAAGACTTTATCTTTAATATAATCATTAAGTTAATCTATTTTTAAATACTTTTAATTTTAATTTTGTGTTTGTTAAAAGGATCGCAACAAAAGCTTCCAACATATAATGACTCAAATCTATCCAAGAAGATCTTTTCATGGTGATTACAAATAGTTTTAATAGGATTTACTTTACATCTTAAGTGCACAAGCTCTTGATCTTTTTTTGTTAATTCCTCAAAAAATTTAATTTTCTTGATTTTGGTAAAATTTCCTTCATGACAATTTTCTTTTAATTTTTTTCCAATGCAACATTGAGTTAGATCTAAAGATGAACTTGCCATTTATTTTTAATTATTATCTAAAAAAAATATATTTATTTTCAATTTTTGAAGTGTAAACAAAAGTTTCCATAAGTTTTGACACAATAAATAAATATAGAATGATAAATTTTATATACGAAATAAAGATAAAAAGTACACCCAATAACTTGTTTGCCATGTCACAGCTTTTAACTGTGTATGTTCAATTGTTATTTTGTGCATTAACACCTCATGCATTAGAAAAAAAATCAGACACATTTTGTAAAGTAAAACATACAATAACATATTTCTTTTAAAATAAGTTCTGGGATAAAATACATATGTATTTCCTTCCAGATATATATATGTTAAAAAATAAAAAGACAGGGGAGGGGCAACTAAGGTTATTTAAAACCTGAGTTTAATTCGGTCCTAATTTAAAGCTAATTTTTAGCAATGATTTTGATATACTTTCATATATATATACATTTTTTTGCATTGCAGTAAATAATGAATACTAAAGTACATCAATATCTCTATTTTTTGCGTTTTTAATGCATTTTGTGGCAACTTCATTGTTCTGACTTTGTAACTTCCCTATGAGTACCAACTATTTTTTTTTCTGAAATCACTTTAATAAAGTCTACTAAATTAGTAGAAAAAAGGTATATCATGAAAATCAGTGTTGATCATAGGTTACCAGTGGATTTAAGGGAAGGCACAATTTTGTAAGTTCTAGCCGGAGCCATTTTTAGGGGTCCATAATTTCTTACTGAATTGTATCATATCAGCAAATTTCTGAAAATTAGGAAGCCTACCATATATAGAAACTAAAAAGATATGTATTTTTACTTCTTAAATTGCTAGTTTTGTATATTAACCCATCAAAAATCAACTTTCTATATCTGCAAACAATTTTTTCAGTTTTTTAGGCAGCCATTATGAATAAAATGTGACATTTAAAAATTTAATGTCAAAGTTTTAACAAAGTAAGCCTAGCATTGTATATGATAAAAAAAACTAGAAGGTTTTCTGAAATTTAGTTTTTAAAATACAGAGCTTCAGAGTATGAACAAAACATGTTTTGGCCATATCTTGTGAACCACATAAGATTTGAAGCTGAAATTTTTAGGAATTGCTTTTCTCATTGATATAAACCAACCCACTAAGTTTCATCAAAATCTGAGGGGGTCCATGTTGTAATTCTAAAATTTTAGACCATTTGGCACGGAACGACCCATTAGTATCATAGATTTTCTTTGATAATTTGAATTTTATTAGCATTTCTCTAAATAATAATTAAAAATTCGTAAAAGTAGTTAAAATAAAAACATGAGTAAATTAAATAATATAAAAAAAGTTTTTTTTTTTAACATTTCAACTTCCAATAAGACTGCAAGCAACCACGAAATTCCATTTAAGAATCTCTGGGCAATCTTAATTTAAAATTACAATGAAAAAACAACAATGACTCTCATTATCAAATAATCAAAATGTTAAAATCTCATATTCACTTGAAACAGGTGACATTAAGGATCTGTCAAAGCTGTAAATGCAAAAGTCATTACATTCTGACACAAAAATAGCAAAAATGTTTTTCGACTTGATAAATGTTTAATTCTAATTATTCAACTTATCTTCTTAAGTTTTCATTTTTAAATTGTTTCTCTACTTTGTTTGATATAGTAGAAAAAAAAACAAGAACAAAAGACAATTGTTTGCAGTTTTAATAAATGAATTATTAAATTTATGAATTGAAACTTTGGTTTATTTTAATTGCGTGCATCGCTTTTAAATACAGTTTTAAAAGGTTTAACCAATTAATTACATATATTGTCTTTTTTTATTTTCATTTTCATTTTTAAATTACAAATGTAAAAAGTAAAAATATTTTTGATAATTTCCACGATCCTCTTGTTACTTTTCAAATTGCTAAAACAACTTTTGAATCGACGTCTCTTGATAACACTATACAAAATATGTAAGATTGCTAGAATTCCGGCTTTTACAAAGGAAAACACAGTAAAAATATATATATTTTTACAGGTTTGTATTCTATTCTGTAAAGACCAAACCTTTGGTAACCCCAATCTTTAAAAAAGCGCTGCCTCAAGGTTGTGAGATGTGGGTTTTTTTAAACCTTAACTATGTTTCTTTTTAAATCTTGACTACATTGTATAGTCAAGGTTTAAAAACCTTGAGGCGGCGCTAAAAACTAAAAAAGACTTACATAACTGAACTTTTTATATACAAGTAAATTTTGTATTTGTAAATTAAAAAAAAAATTAATTTTTGTATTTATAAATATTGGTTAATAATTAAAAATATTTTTAATATTATTTAATTATCTTCTTTTATGTTTTACGCAAATATAACAGATAATATGTTGCATTGCAAGTTTTATTTTTAGTTTTTGTTGTTGTTGTTGTTTTCCGTTTACTTTACTTGCTTATTTACTTTAGGGGCCATCCATAAAGTATGTACGCATGTATGGGGGAGGGGAGGGCGTTTCCCAAAAGTAATAATAAATCTTTTATAATGAAAACGTTATTAACATATTTTAAAGTAATTTAATAATATGCAAAATTTAATAATATGCAAATTTCTATGTAATTTTTCTAACTTAAGATAAACAGAAAATATGTAAATAAAGACTTTTTGAATAATAAAAATAAATTAATAAAGTAATTTATTAAAGGGATCCCAAACTCCCAACACATGTTGTGTTCATATTAAAGATAATGTTAAAAAAAAAAGGTTAGAACCAAGTTTTTTTGATTAAAAATAAATAATGAATGCATACCGAGAAAAACTAATGTTGTTGTTTCAGCCGAAGCTTGCCTTCTCCATTTTTTTCAATAACTTGGAGTCTTCAAATTATACTTTGCAATCTACAGACTTTGGCGGTTCCTTTGAAGTGCGTTTAATTCATAAAAGTTTTAGTATTTGACGTCACGGTAGACTTTTAACAAATGAAACTCTGGAAATATTTTTATTTATTTTTATTCAAAAATTTTTTGATTATTTGTTTAGTTTTTTTTTTTTTTTTTTTTAATTTTTAACATTTAAAAAGATATTAAAAACCTCAAATATATTATGCTGGTTCGTTGCTGTAAATTGTTATTGCGCCATGTTTATTAATATTTATAAATTATGAATATTTATTATCTCAATCAAGACTCTGATAAAAAATTGTTTTACATTAATTACCCTTATAAAATTAGTAACAGCATTTTTATTTGGTTAGACAATATTTCGTTTCAATTTGCTTTGCATGAAGTTCGGAAAGTCAAGCGAAAAAAATTTGTTTAAATAATCACGTTGAAATATATTTAAAACAAGTTATTTTAATGAGGGGTTCCAAAGTTTGTTATAACAAATGTAGGTAAAAAATAAATAACTAAATAAAAAGTTCAACATTAAACATTTCTTTATTATATTGTAACTGTAAAAATTAAAATATTAACTTGAACTAAATTTACTTATTATTTAGAACGACTAAGCAATAAAAATAAAATGCCCCTAAAATTATGCGATATTGTGTTATTTATTTGATAATTGTTGTTGGTAATGTTGATTTTTTTCATAAATATCAAAATAGTTCCAGATTAATCTGTTCGTTGTCTTGCTCATTGTTGATTTATTTCTAATTTAATTTTATCTCAAACTATAATTTTATGTTAAAAAAGAAAAGTTTTTATTTCATCGGACGCTCTTTTTATAAAAAAATAGAACAAAAGAGAAAGAAAAGTTTCGTGTAATTAAACTTTGAATGATCAAGAGTTGTATAGAATATATATATTTTTTTGCGTCACTTGTTTTTTTTTTAGATAAAAGAAATAAAAGTTTAATAGTAACTTTTCTTTGAATAAATGAGAATTGGAAGAGAAAATTGCTTGAAAATTTGTGTTTATTAATTGTGTTTTTAAAAATATTTAATTTTTCATGTTAAGAGACAAGTGCCAAATACGACACAAATTGGGAAATACCAAATATAATAAGTTTTTTAATGCGCGTTATGACATTTTGATAATTTAGATTACCATCTATCTTGAATTATTGCCATTGAATAATGTGTTATTTATTGTGTTATTTAATAATAATTTGTCCGTATTTTTGTTAAATATTGGGCCGGGTGAATAAAAAAGAGCAATTGCTCACAAGCAATTGCTCTGAGTAAAAGTAAAAGCTAAAAGCAAATGCTCGCCGTAATAGCAATTGCTCAAAAATGTGTGTATAAAGTTTTGCTAATGCTCGCAAGCAGTTGCTTTTGTGTCAGAGTAAAAGCTATATGCCGTTGCGGATATAAGTAGCTTTTTTAACTTTTAATATTTAAAAATGGCTTCTTCAAACCAGATTTCAATTGAATCAAGTGAAAATAATATAGTTAGCCAAAGTTTTAACAAATGTGAAGATGAAGTTTTTATAAACATACTGTGCGAATTGCCAATACTTCTACAAAAAAGCCAAGTTCCAAACGTTAAAATAAAGAAAAACAAAGCATTTTTAAAAATGCAAGACCAAATGTTCCAAGCAACAGGAACAAAAATCGATACAAAAACATTGGCGAAAAAGATTGCCAACATGAAGACAAGGTTAAAAAAAAAGTCTGACACCCATCGAACTGGAAGCAAGCCTATAAAACTTTCAGCGAGTGAAGTCAAACTTGCTAATCTTTTAGATACAGAAAAGAATCCTACCTTCACACAAATTGATGGTTAGTAAAGACAACTTTATTTATATACGTACATATTATCATATATATTCAGCAAATTTAGCAATTTAAATTACATCAGCGTAATCAAAAAATTTTTATTATAATAAAAGTTAACAATTCATCAAATATCTCTAATTAATACTGTCAGTTTATGAAAGTAATTGTTAATAAATACTCTTTTTCGACTGGAAAACAAAAAATTATCGTAGTGTAAAAATAACCAGAGAAGTTAGAAAATAGTTCCCATTGTTTAAATAAAAATAAGTAAGAATCAGAATATATAATACTGCGCTCTCTTGCGTTAAAACAAGAGACCGTATATAAAACGTTCTATATAATGTAAAATACTTGTATGAAAATCATAAGATTAGTAAGTAAAGTTTTAATATTTGTTTTAATTTAAAAACAAAAGAAATATAAGTCAGATTTATAAATCTAAAAATTATTAAGATGACTGTAAAAAATAAGTTGCTCCTATAAAATAAAAAGAATTTATTGATTTTACTTTTTACCAAATTTTTTTTGCGATGTTTGGAAAAATAATACAAATAAATTTGTTTTGCTGTATGTTAAAATAATACTACATCGTACTTTTTGAATTAAAGTAGAAAAACGCAGCTTTGTGTAATTACACTTTTCATTTGTTAAAAGTCTACCGTGACGACAAATACTAAAACTTTTATGAATAAAACGCGCTTTAAAGGAATTGCAAAAGTCTGTAGATTGCGACGTATACTTTGAAGATTGCGAGTTATTGAAAAAAATGGAGAAAGCAAGCTTCGGCTAAAACAGCAACATTAGTTTTTCTCGGTATGTATTCATTATTTATTTTTAATCAAAAAAGCTTAGTTTAAACCTTTTTTTTTAACATTATCTTGTGATGAATAAAAACTGCGCGACGCATAAGCACGACGTGATTTTTGACGTCATTAAATTCTTTTTATTTGCTTTTCATATTTATCGACATTAATGGCACCAATTTACTTAATTACCGCAAAACTACTTTAAATCATTAATGTAGAAATGTTATTATTTAAAAATGTTTTGGAATGTTTCGTTTTTTAAAATGTAAAAACACTTGCTTATTTTCATATTTATTAAAATCTTAACTAGAGTCAATAAAAATTAAAAAAAAGTTTTTTTCAACTTTTGAATGAATGATCTTGTTAAAGTTAATGACACATGTTGATAATGACAGGTTTTTACACTAAAAAAGATCGATCAACATTTTTTTCCTTGTTGTGCGTACTGATTGTGTTTTTTTGTGTTAATAACACATGTTAATGATGACAGGTTTTTACACTAAAAAAGATCGATCAACATTTTTTTCCCTGTAGTGGGTACTGATTGTGTTTTTTACTTGTTTAGTGCGATACTCTAAATCTGAGATCGATTTGATTTTTTTTTACTATGATCTAAGGAACCCTTGGGAATTTTAAACCAATTTGGAATACTGCGTTATACGCGATGCCATCAGGCTAGCTAACACCCTGATTATCTATGTCATACTGGTAGTTGCGAAGAAATGCATGTTACTATACCAGCTGACTTTTTTTTGTATATCTTTAAACGCTGCAACAGATAAATGAGAATTTTTTATATCTTTAACAATATCAGTTTCTTGTGAATCAAAACACTTAAAGTTGTCAATTTAAAAAAATATTTGAACAGCAAATTTAAACCATGTGAAATTCATCCGTAGCAATGAAGATGAGGATAACAATCTTTAAAACAAGTTCATGCATTTTTCATATTTGCAGCATTGTCAGTCACAATGTCCAAAACTTTGTTAGGATTTCTTCTAAAACTTTTTTTTATTTTATTTGCCATATATTCACCAGAATGGTTTAATGCTCCTACAAAACAGTTTAGGATATATATTATATATATACTATACTTAATAAATGTTATGATATATTTTTTCTGCTTACTGAAATGGTTTTCAGTGTTGTATGTTATCAACCCTCGGAATTAGGAAAATTGAGGTCGGCAATAATTTGTCGACCTCAATCTTTTAGAGGTCGGCATCAGGTTGGCAAATACAAAGGTCTTACCATAAAACAGCGAAATGAGTTCGGCAAAACCGATTTTTTTTTGCCAACCGCAAACATGTTTAGATCAGCAGTTAGGTCGGCATTGTCGAATGGTGACCCTAATTCTGAGGGTTGATGTTATAAATTTAATATCAAAGTTAATTATATAATAGTTAGTAAGTGACCGAGGATTTTATTTGACAGGGGCCAGGGCCAGGTTTGGTAAATTATAGCCGAGGCAGGGTTTTTGACTTAGGCTGCATAAACAGTTATACATTCTTAACCCTTTACAGGTCAGCATTAGAAAAAATGGTAGAAAAAATTTTATTTTTATTTTAAAGGATCTATTTGGTGTATGGAGTAATAATCAATATTTTTTTTTTTGCTGACATAAGCAGTTTTTGAGATATTTTTTGTTGCCATATGGCAACTTTGACCGGTTAGGGTATAAAATCAAATTATTACTTTTAGTTAGTAAACAATAATAATCAGCCTTCTTGAAAAAATAAGTCATAATTAGTTTTCTTCAAAAGTTCCTACTTTCTATGAAACTGATAAAAACAATTTCTTTCATTGCTTAAACATAAAAAAACTTTGCATTTTAGGCAAGACATACAAACGGTTTTCTTGCACAATCGACATTTGTTTTTGTTAATTTGAGGATTTGGCCAGTGTCCAAACTCATCATATCGTATATCATTTTGGGGTGTTGGTACCTGAACTTTGCGACCTCGTGTTTCGGTTTAGTTCAGAATTAGTTGATAATTTTTTTATCGGTCGGCCAATAGGTCTGTCAACTCGTTTACTTTTCGTTATTAAAGCGTTAGCAATTTGACTGCTAAATTGAAGGAGGTTAAGTTGGCTACGCTGAGAAATATTCAACTGGTTACCATGTCTTCTATACAGCAGCCAAGCATTTATCTTACATATATCCATGCAATGAACAAGCACACGTAAGTCCCATCTTTTTGTTTTCATGGGTATTCGATATAAGCTAATAAGCATGTCAGACAAGTCTACACCACCCATTCCAGTATTGTATTCTTTTACAACTTGCGGGCAAGGTACTTGAATGTGTTTCCTATTTTTTTGATCCCATCGTTTAACATTACCAGATGTATTAGCTGAACAATATGTTGAGGTCATATGAACACATTTGTTATCAAACCATCTTAGAAGCAACAGACCAGAGTTTGCATCAACCTTATATGAAAAAGACCCCCGACCTTGTTTTTTTAAATCTTTCTCAGAAAGCAGTGGACACTTTGCTATTCGATTTGTACGAATAGTTGCTGTTGTCAGTATGCCTATTTCTTTTAGTTTGAGACAAAGAGAAAGAGTACAGAACCAGTTGTCAAAACACAACTTAAAGTTTAAATTTTTTGGTATTCGTTCAGCCAATCTTAAAACAACATTCTCTGCAGAACAATCTTCTCTTCCGCTGCTTTTTGCGCCACAATACAAAAAAAAAATCATAGATGATTCCACTTGAGCCAGATCGAACAAACATTTTAAACCCCCATTTGTGAGGCTTTTTCGGATTATATTGGCGAATACCACTATGTTTTGTTTTCGCAGGTATTATTTGCTCATCGATAGAATGCACTGGTTCTGGTTCTTTTTTGTGACAATTATCCCGCACCATCTCTAATATAGGTCTAATTTTGAAAAGTTTATCATTTTTATTATCTGCTTCATCTTTTTTTGAATTGTCAACTACATGAATATATCTTCTTAACGCTTTATACCTATTAGTTGGCATAACATCAGCAATTGTATTAATTCTGATTTCATTCATCCAGTACATAGGGTAGCTTGGCAGCTTTAAAATACTCATTAACATTTGCATTCCCATAAACTGATCCATTTCATTAACATTTGTGATTATTGACTTACCGGAAAGTTGGGTACTATAAAGATTTGTTTGTTCTACAATCAGTTCTGTTATTTCTTTTGTCCAGAACTGGGAATAATAATCAAGAGGTGTAAGTTCATTAAAATTATCCGGGGCTAATGTGAAATTTTCTCCCATAAATTCCGAATCGATTAATTGCGGTTCAGTAGATCGCCACCGAAACTCGTGTGGTTTTTTTCTTTTTCTTACTGACTCAAAATTTGATATATTTTGATCTTCACCTCCACAGATTTCTTCGTTATCAGTTATCTCTTCTTCTTCATCACAATCAATTTTAGGTTGGCCAACTTCGTTTTCATCATCCGAGGATTCAGAAAGTTCTGATAATTCTGAATCAGAACCAGGCTCAAGAACAAAGTTTACAACATCCTGAATTGTGTATCGTGTTTTTTGATAGCGTTGTCTTTCTATCATAACAATTTTAGTGGTTAATTTCTTTTTCTTTTTAAATTATTTATACTCTAAAAATATTAAATTATCTACTCGCACTACATATATGTATATATAAACATATATATATATATATATATATATATATATATATATATATATATATATATATATATATATATATATATATATATATATATATATATATATATATATATATATATATATAAAACTTCACTTATAAAAGAAAACTTTGGAAACATAAGAAATAAAAATTTTAATATCTACTTGGGAGATATAAAATAGCGAGATATCTAAAATAAGACTTTATTCAAAATATGTCCATTAAAGGACACAGTTGCCGTATGGCAACAAAATATTTGTTATGAAGTAATAAATCATGCAGTCAAAGCTTATACAAAACAAATGATGTAAAAATACAGAACAACTTCTGGTAATTAACATTCACTACAAATATAATAATAAACAAAGTGTTTTGACACATCTTGATGGCCTGAAACTGATACATATTTTATTCCAAAAAATGTAGTAACAATCAAGGCAATGATTCTCATATAAAAATGCCGCTAAACTGCAATCTTTGTTTACTATTTGCATTAGCATAGTCTAAATACCGTATTAAACCAAGAAAATCCGGGCCATATAAAAAATTATACGTTTTAAGTAACATTAAACTATTTATTGCCATAGGGCAACCCTGACCTGTAAAGGGTTAAGTATATTATTTTAATTCAAAATTCATGTTATATTTTGTATATATATGCATATATAACCATCATCATGATCAACATGATCATAATGATGTTTTATTAAAAAATCTGTTTTTTAATAAAACCTTTGTATCAAGTTTTTTTCCTTGCACATCAAAAAATCCTTATAACTCTTCCCCATCTTTATGTTTCCTTTTTAATACATCCGTGAATGTCAATTAACCATTTTTTAGTATTTTTATATATATATATATTGCAATCCTCATTTATATATTGCAACCCGATTTGGGTCATTCGGCAATGCCGACCTAACTGCTGACCTAAAAGTGTTTGAGATTGGCAAAATATTGCCAACCTTGTTTCTGTTTTTTAATAAAACCTTTGTATCAAGTTTTTTTTGTCGACTTCTAAAAGATTGAGGTCGGCAAATTATTGCCGACCTCATCTTTCCTAATGCTGAGGGTTGATATTGTGTGTTAATAAATTTCAGTACTCTCGAGTCCTTAATAAAAGGGGGGGGGGGGGAGGTGGGCATTCATTAATTTTTGAAAAATTTTCCTACCCACCCTAAGCTTGTTCAGAACCCCCTCCCTCCCCATTTATTAATTTTGACTAGTTATCAACAACAAAATCAGTGAAAATCGGCCTTAAAAATTATAAAATAATTATTCAGTCACTGAAACTTTTAGTGTAAACTTTCAGTGACTTTAAAAATTGTCGACCAAGTAAATCTGGATTTGTCGAAAACAAGCTTTTGTTTTATTTTTCATCTAAGTATATAACTTACATCAGCGTATATCCTATTTAATTATTATAAAATGGCTGTTAGAAAATGTGCATTTAATTGCAGGCCACGCTAGAATTAAATAGATTTATGTATGTTTTATGTATAATTAAATAGTTTTATGTTTTGTAAAAAAATTAGTTTGGATTTATAAACTTAAATTTTTTATAAAAAATACTTATATTGTAGATAAAATATTTACCCACCCCCACTCCTTTTTATTCTCATACCACCATCCACCTTCCTTGTGTTAAGGACTTAAGAGTACTAGTCTAGGTTTAATAATTTTTTCTTTTTCTTTAAAATAAAAGTTACAGAGATCATAATTGATTACCAACAAGAGCAAGATATGACTTTATATTTGCAACTCAAAACTTTATAAATACAGTAGTATATATATATATATATATATATATATATATATATATATATATATATATATATATATCAAGGATTGAATTAAGCGATCGTGATTTGTGATATCCGGAAAAATATCTGGTTTTCAAAATTTTAGTTTATTCAAAACCAAGTACTTTTTTTTTATGGAGCAAATTAGCTTAAATTTGTTAGCAAAAAAGTTTTAAAAACAAAACAAAACAATGAACTTACAATTACAAAAGTAATAACAATCTAGTCACTATTATAAAAGTAGTATACAACTTAGTATACAAAGTAGTAAACAACTTACATATTATATAGTTACATATATATATATATATATATATATATATATATATATATATATATATATATATATATATATATATATATATATATATATATATATATATATATATATATATATATATATATATATGTAACTATATAATGTATGTATGTATATATGTAACATACATACATACATACATACATACATACATACATACATACATACATACATACATACATATACATACATATATATACAGTCTTCTCCATTTGAAGTTTAATTCCAGCGCACGAGAAAGCGCTGACAGGATGGTCTTTTTTAAGTTAGCCTGCGCTATTTAAAAAATCGCATTCTTTTTTACTATTTAAATTAAAATAAAAATAGCGAAAAGAATGCTTTGAATGAATACTAGATAAAATAATTTTAAAAAAACGCTTTTAGTTTTTTGACAAAAGCTCTTTTTTCGCCAAGGTTTTGCAGGCGTGTGGGCGAGCGTGAAAGCGCTGGTTGAACGAAGAAGACTGATGTATTTCATATATATATATATATATATATATATATATATATATATATATATATATATAATATATATATATATATATATATATATACACACATACACACACACACACACACGCATAAGTATTTGGGTAGACATTGCCGAGTTCGAAATTCAGGTTGGCATTAGTCAGGTACGCAAAAGCTGACCTATCTTTTCTTTTCGGTATACAACTGCCGACCTGAATCTCTTATAGTTTCGGCTTGCAAAAATACGAAAAAAATATGTAATATTCATTTATAAATTCATAATTTATTTATTGTAATTACTTTTTTTTTCAAGTTTGACAAGATTTATTAAAAAAAAAGTTTATTAATCTTTTTAAAATTCACTTCTTCGTTTTTTCTCAAGTTTATTTAAGCATTGAAATGTTATTTATTCATTTAAAAGTTAAGAGAATTTACTTTTCAAACGTCTGTTGTACTCACGCCTCTAAAAACACCTCTTGTAAA